GATGCTGACCTTTGTCTGCCTGTCTTCTTCCCAAGAGATTTGCAGGATTTTTTGAAGGCAATGCTGATGGAATCTTGAGAGTGGCATCTGTAGACAGTCCATGTTTTGCAGACATATAACAGAGTTGGGAGGACAAAAGCTTTATAAACAAGTATCTTGGTATTAGGGTGCATCTACACTCGGATGTAGTGACACCAATTTAACTTGCATGGTTCCATGTTGTAGAATCATGGGCATTGTAGATTTACAGGGTCTTTAGCTCTCTCTTACAAAGAATGGTGGTGCCTCACCAAATTACAAATCTCCGGATTCCATAACATTGAGCCATGGTTGTCAAACTGCAATAATTCTAGAATAGGTGCACCCATGACATGACCAAAGTCAGCCTGAGCAGGCATTCAAACTCATTTCTCAATAGGTTGTTGTAGGTTTTTCCAGGCTATATGGCCATGTTCTAGAGGCATTTTCTCCTGACGTTTCACCTGCATCTATGGCAAGCATCCTCAGACGTAGTGAGGATCCTCACTACCTCTGAGGATGCTTGCCATAGACGCAGGCGAAACGTCAGGAGAAAATGCCTCTAGAACATGGCCATATAGCCCGGAAAAACCTACAACAACCCAGTGATTCCGGCCATGAAAGCCTTCGACAATATCATTTCTCAATAGTCAAGGTGAACAACCATTAAACCTTGCCTCATATTCTGACAGAGAACTCTAGGTCATATCTAAACTGGCCACTTAATGCAAGATGAAGACAGCAGAGGAGGAAGTGATTCAAGCATGGAGCTGATCACATATCAAGCAACAGGAACTGGGTCGAGGCACCGGGGAGCTTAGTTCTGATCCACTTCCAGGATTCACAATATCTGGACTTCATGGCCACATGGGACTTGGGATGGTTTTTTTTTCAACTTCACTCTAATGCAATGCACTTGTACAGATCACTGGAAGGCCTGTTCCTTAATCAGTATTACCATGCAATGTGGTTTACATCTATGTGCACTGACCCTATGGACCCTATTTTGGAGTATCCCCCAATTTTGCCTATCTTGGTTTACGACCTCAAATGTATGCTCCTGCACAAATTTATGGCATGCACCATTTAAATATGGCATTTTTCACAATCCATATTAAGTGGTCAGTATAGATATGCCCTTAGGCTCCAATTACCTTTGTCTTCCATCCCACCAACCACAGTCCTCATCATCCAGCAGTGGCTACAATAATGCTGTTTTCGCTAGCCCGCTTCAACTCTGCAGTCCGACCCACTAACCTCTTTTCCGCGTGTTTAGTCAAAATACCACTTGGGAAAGTCATGAAAAGGATGGAGAGCCAAAGAGCTCTCTTCAGATTATTGGATTTTCTAATAATCCACAACACACAGTGTTCCAGATCTGAAACTTTATGCTTCCGAACACTTTTTACGACGGAAAATTTATATAACTCATTTAGTAGGAATGCTCCCAATTTCCTGGTCGGTTTTTTATGTTTCTTCTTTGTTGCTGCTTCATTCATTACATAGTTCCTAATGGCAATTGCAGACAGGGGCAGGGCTTTGTGGATCCTGGCATGACTGAAGAGTTTGCATGCCATGTCAAATCTTTCTATAGAAAGGAGGTCAAAAAAGCAGCCAGAAGCAGGGAAATATTTGTGTAACCTTCTTGACTCCAGTGAAATCACACTTTCCCTTTTCGGGTAGTACAAGTTGAACATCCCTTATTCAAAATGGGACCAGAAGAATTTTGGATGTTGGTTCCCCCCCCCCCCCCATTATTTGGGATATATAGAGAGAGAGAAAAAGAGGGGGGGGGAGACAAGCTTAAACAAAACATTCATTTATGTTTCATCTACACCTTATAGCCATAGCATGAAGGTTGTTTTCATACACAATAATTTTATCATACAGTCTGATCATACAGTCTAAACCTTGTGTAGACTGTATGATCAGAAAGTAAAGGTATCACTATCTCAGCCACTGATGTGGACAATTTCATGTTTTGGAGTATTCTTAATTTTGGAATTCCAGATAAGGAAATGGTGCTTAAATCCACACTAAGTCCCCTCCAGGAGAGAAGACGGAATATAAATTATTATTAATAATAATAATAATAATAATAAAAGAAAGAAGGTTTCAGTCAGATTAGATTGCTGGTGTAGAGAGTTCGTCCTTACATTAGTACCACTTTCCTGAATCTGCCATTCATATCACAATGGGTACATGCAAATATATGTGAAACTAGCTGTCCCCCGCCATGCGTTGCTGTGGCCCATGTGTTTTGTATGTGTATATATTTGTATTGTGTGTGTATATATTTGTGTATAAGTGTATATACGTGTGTTTACATTTATATGTGGTTTTGCACATGTGTTATAACGGTTTTTTTTTTGCTTTTTAAGTCTCTTCCACTGTGTTTTTCTGTGTTTTTATGACTGATGGTCACTCGTTGGCCTGAGAGGTGTCTTGTGTCCAAATTTGGTGTCAATTCATCCAGTGATTTTTGAGTTATGTTAATTCCACAAATGAACATTACATTTTTATTTATATAGATATATTTCCCCATTAGGCAAGAACAGTTTATGAAAGGGGGATGATTTTCCAGGGTGAAGTAGATTTTCTCCATGTGTTGTTGTTCTGTGAATTTACATGTAGTAACCCTAAGGCAGGCATCCTCAAACTGCGGCCCTGCAGCTGTTTGGAACTTCAACTCCCAGAATTCCTGACAATTGAACAAGCTCGTTGGGGCTTTTGGGGGACCACAGTTTGAGGATGGCTGCCCTAAGGCAAAACTATCAATGGGTTTTATTGACAAGGTTGGGTCAGATGAGAACCTTCCATTATCTTCCTCTGAGGCTGGCTTGCCTAAGATCACACAGGGATTTTCCATCGTTGAATGAGCATTTGTACCCTGGTCTCCTACAATCCTAGTGCAAACTCAAACCATTACATTCTCCTGTGCTATGGTCCTAATGTGAATGGCCTTCAACCCTCTCCTCTCCGTCTTCTCCTCTTCTTTCTCTAGTATCTAGAGCAGGGTTTCTCAACCTGGGGGTCGGGACCCCTGGGGGGGTCACAAGGGGGTTCAGAGGGGTCGCCAAAGACCATCAGAAAACACAGTATTTTCTGATGTTGATGGAGGTTCTGTGTAGGAAGTTTGGCCCAATTTTATCGTTTATGGGGTTCAGAATTCTCTTTGATTGTAGGTGAACTATAAATCCCAGCAACTACAACTCCCAAATGTCAAGCTCTGTTTTCCCCAAACCCCACCAGTGATCACATTTGGGCATATTGTGTATTCTTGCCAACTCTGGTCCAGATCCATCATGGTTTGAGTCCACGGTTCTCTCTGGATGTAGGTGAACTACAACTCCAAAAATCTAGGTCAATGCCCATTTCTGTTGGTCATGGGAGTTCTTTGTGCTAAGTTTGGTTCATTTGGTTCAATTTCATCGTTGGTGGAGTTCAGAGTTACAGGTGTACTATAAATCCCAGCAACTACAACTCCCAAATGACAAAAACACACACACACCCCAACCCCACCAGTATTCAAATTTGGGTGTATTGGGTATTTGTGCCAAATTTGGTCCAGTGAACGATTCATAACAGTAGCAAAATTACAGTTCTGAAGTAGGAATGAAAATAATGTTATGGTTGGGGGTCACCACAACATAAGAACTGTGTTAAGGGGTCGCGGCATCAGGAAGGTTGAGAACCACTGATCTAGAGAAATCCAGCAATGTCCAATGATTAGTCAATGAAAAGTTATTTAGCAGTTGGTAGCCCTATGTGATATATTTTCCCAGAACCCCCAAAAGTAGGCTTGCTTAGAAGTCTATTGAGTACTCCAACAAACTTGACCTGCAACCATTTATGATTTGGGAGCTTAAACAATATTAGTAGCTTTTGCTGTCTGGAAGCAACATGTGGATCTCTTGTTGTCGAATGAATATTGGTCCTATAATTTGACAAATGCAGACTTTAGAATCTGAAAAGTGACTGAGCTTGGAAATGTTGCTGAATTGTGCTCCCCACCTACATGGGGAAGTGTTAAGAAAAAACCCTGATGAATCAGTAGCTTCTGAATCAACTGCAGGTTATCCCGCGTTGTGTACACAATCCCAGTGTGCAGCTATTAAGACTATTTAGGGAATATGTATTGCTCCAGGATACAAAGGATACAAGTTGTGGCCTGAGGCATAGGCAGTTGAAGGTTTTCTTTTTATCAGTCAGGATGAGGAGAAAGCTTTCTGAATGGTAACACACTTGCTCCCTTCCTTTTAGTATTCTGTGAGCCACCAAAGATTCTTAGATTTCATGTATTTTTGGATAGAAGTATAGCCTTTGTGAATGTCTTTCTTCCCTCTCTCCCAATAAAACCTCTGAATTCCAAAGTCCACATTTCTGTCTATGAAAATGGCTCAGAAGTCTCTGTATACACACTTTCAAAACTAAGAGAGCCCATAAAGGGGGCCTTTAAGCTTCTTCCAAGATAAGAACAGCTTTGAGATTCCAAGGGAATTTTGTATTCTCAAACGAAAAACCAAATTCTGTTGTTTGGCTTTTATTGCCTTTCTTGGTCCCTGAAGTCTCAGGGCCACTGAGTTGGGGGGGCATGGTGGAGGATATACTTTGAAGAAAGTCCCAGATTTTATTCCCAGCATCTTCAGGAACAATTGCAGAACCTCTTGCAATATTAGGATGGAAAGACCAGTTCAAGTCCTGATTGCTATTGTTACTACCAAGTAGGAATCATTGGATCAACTGTTTCAAAGGGTCAGATGTCAAACAGTGGAATGCGCTGCCTTGGAGGGCTGTGGAGATTTAAGAGATTGGTCTGTAACTTGTCAGGAGTACTTTCATTGTGAATTTTTGCATGGCAATGGGTTGAGCTAGATGGTCCTTGTCATCACCCTAGTTGGGATTACCACTAGGTTTGATGCCTGTCATTCTATACCCAATGAACTTCAGTACTAAAGTAGCTTGTTGATGCTTTCTTTCAGAGCATTCTTATCTGATCACCTCTTGGACACCGTTTCTTTGATGTTGAAGGAACAGACAAGAGGGCCATGGATGTGAAAGAAAGGAAGCCCTACCGTTCCCTGACCAGGCGCCGTGACGCTGAGCGCCGCTACACCAGCTCCTCCGCAGAGAGCGAGGACAACAAGATACCTCAGAAGTCCTACAGCTCCAGTGAGACTCTGAAGGCCTACGATCAGGACTCTAGGCTGACCTATGGCAATCGGGTGAAGGAAATGGTGCACCAGGAAGCAGACGAGTACTGCCGAACAGGTACGCTCTGGAGCAGATTGTGGTTGGATGGGAGGAAGGACTTCAAATGGTCTTAATGTCAATGTTCCTTTGGAAGTACAAAATGGCTTACAGTTTCCATACAATAGCAATCCTGGTTGGGAGAATTCAAAGACATAACCATAATGATCTGGCTCCATATTCAAGGGGCTCTTGCTATCAACATCCATAGACTTCTGGATAACTTTGTGGTACAGTGCTATAAGTTTTTATTTGTTTGTTTGTAAAGGAAAAAGTAGATCTTGTGTTCTTATCTTCAAAATGCATTTCCTTGACTTGCTTATGTTGGGAATCAGGAGCTGTTAGGCTCAAAATAGCCCTCTCTGGAGGCGATTCCACCAAAAATATGGGGAAATGCTAGATGCACAGTTAATAAGCAGCAGAAACTTACATGTAGTGAGCAAGGATTGGCTTCCATTCAACAGGATGAAACAGGATTGCAGATCCACAACTTCATAGGATCAAAAATAACATGTTTATTAAAGACAAAAGAAATCCATTCTAGATAGGAAAGGTTCTTGGAGCTAACTAGCTTCACTGAGCTATCTTCTAAGGAAAAGAAAAAAGGGAAAATAATGGAAGTAGCTATGTCTACTACATCTTGGCTGGACAATGGCAAGATGCCTCCTTGCTCTAGAGAAGACAAAAAGAGAAGAGGGCAAGCCAATATGGAGAACTCTGACCACATGGCTTCGCCAGGGCAATAAAAATACCTTTAAAGAGAAGTTACATTTTCCCTGAAGGGATCACATTGCTAAGTATTCAAAGGGGGAGGAGATAGTGGCATGCAAAGATGAGAAGGAGAACCCCTTCTAAACCCCTTAAAGGAATCCCTCACTCTAATCTAGCTAGGCTAACTACTCATTGAGAGCTGGAGACTTGTGCAGTCAGGGATGAAACCCAACAGCTTATTCAAATATTTATTAGTAAAAAATGCATGGAATAACTCAAGGGTAAATCTACGCTGTAGATTATTTTTGCCTTGGGGCTGCTTTGTGGGCCTGGCCGAGAGGGGCGGGGAGAGCCCCAGAGAGGGTGGGGCCAAGAAGGGGCAGGTAAAGGCCTGAGTCATCCTGGCATAAGGACAGGGCTGCTCACCCTCTCCTTATGCCAGGAGGAAGGCTGGACACACAGCAACTGCCCCAATCCTGATCCTCCACTTGGGCAAGAGAAGAGGTGGCTGAGAGTGCCCTGGAGGGCTCTCAACGACTGCATGCCTTCCTTGAGCCATCCTTATGCTGGGAGGAGGGCAAGACACATGGTGGCCGAGAGTGCTCCAGAGGGCTCTCAGCTGCTACATGCCTTCCTCCCCCATCTTTCTTCCAAGAGGACAAAGAAAATGAGGAGGGCCTGAGGTAAGCACCCAGGGGACCACATCCAGGCCCCGGCCTTAGTTTGCCCATGCCTGCTGTAGAATGAATGCAGTTTGCCACTACTTTAACTGCCATGGCTCAATGCTATCGAATCAGGGAGTTGTAATTTGCAGGGTTGTTGACCGTCTCTGACAATGACACTAGAACCCACCAAACTAAAACTCCCATGTTTCCATAGCATTGAATCATGACAGTTAACAAGATGGGAAAATTCATTCATTCTATAGTGTTGATGCATCCTGAAAAACTCATGTGCTTTGGGTGTTGGTAGGATTCAAACAATAATAATAGTTTAGCTCCATATGCAGGGGCCCTCATAATACCTATGTGACTGAAAGAAAGAAGTTTTGAAGACTGTGTCAATAGCAGTGGAATGATTTTACAGGGCATGTATATACAAAGTTAGGCTGAGATAATGTTATTTTGCCAAGAGGGTCTCCAGGGCATAGAGGTGACCAAGAACCTAGTCTCATGGAACCTGGTCTCCTGATCCAACACCCAAACCATTACGTTACGCTGATTTTCTAAATTTCATCCAAGAACATGTGTCATTGCTTTCCTCTGTGGTTTTCACACCAGTTATTGTGGTTTGCACAACAGTTCTGGTGTGCTACACTTTTTCTGACATAAATGGTGGCAAATGGTTGAAGGCAAACCCCACCAAGTTGACCTGTGATTGGCACATCAAGAACAATGCAATCCTCTCTGTTTCATTAGTCTGATCTTCTCGCAGCTGTGGGGTGGAGGAATGAAAAAGACTGTTTCTCAGCAAGGAAGCCCAGCGGTATTAGTATGTGGATTAATTTATCATAGGCTCGCATCTTGCTCTCTCAAGCAGGTCCTCAATATTGGCAGAGCATAAGAGCTCCAAATATCCCCAGCCTGTCAATTCTGTCAGGAAGCTTAATCTGTCTTAGTTAATTAAAAAAGTGCAAAGTTCACCCACAGCTTCCTTGCCCTGGCTGCAACTCCCAAAAGAAGAGTAGCATTATGGCCATTTCCACTAGTATATTTAACACCTTTTTTAGGGTCTTTTCACAAGTTAGTTTCTATAGTGCCTCAAGCTACAGGCTCCCATCAGCTCCAGTTAGCCAATGGTCAAAGATTATGGAAATTATAGTCTTTCCCAGTGGTTTCCAACCAACTTCTGGAATCTAGTGCTTCTCTTGTTGCATGTTCTTCTATCAGTGAACAAAGATCTTTTAAAGAGAGCCTTTTAAAAGAATGGGCTAAAGGTACTGTCTTGTTTTGAACTGAACTGTTTTGCCATACATAACTCATGTTTTCTGCTGCCCTGGAGACTAGGACACGGAACAATGGCTTCAAACTACAGGAAAGGAGATTCCACCTGAACATGAGGAAGAACTTCCTCATTGTGAGAGCTGTTCAGCAGTGGAACTCTCTGGCCCAGAGTGTGATGGAGGCTCCTTTTTTGTAGGCTTTCCAAAGGAAGTTGGATGGCCATCTGGCAGGGGTGCTTTGAATGCAATATTCCTGCTTCTTGGCAGAATGGGGTTGGACTGGATGGACCACAACACCTCTTCCAACTCTATGGTTCTATGTATAAGTCTACCTCATACATGAGGACAAGTTTTAGGACCAAAATTATGGATTTTGATATGAACCATAGATTAGTTAAGGATAAAACTAAGAAACATGTAATAAAGGACATAAAGGATGAAGCAAAAGAAAACACTGCAAAATAATTGCTTGGTGCTTTACATTTGTTCACCGTTGCCAACCCTAATCTAAATGATAGGATCATCCTGTGAGTACTCTGGGAATGATTTATTTGGAATATTTATTTCCTGGTTACACGCTTCTGCTATTACAATGCATTTTGGAAAATAAAAAAGTAAATCAGGTGCCAAAAAAAGGGAGAGGTGCTGTAAATTCAATGCATAAAAGATGGTTGGACTGGAATCACTAAGTGGTCTAGACAGCTTTCCTCCACAAATCTTTTGAAGAGAAAAGGCTAATATTTGAATGCTTGTTCGCTCTGCCTTGAACTGATTATGTCACTCTGCAGGTAACTAGCCATGAATCCAAGAACCTTTCTTTTTCTCCAGGTAATATTTTTAGCCAGGTAAACAATTGCATCTGTTCTGCAGCTGAACAGTCGCTGCTGTGACCTTACCAGAGTGGAAAATGTCACCTGGGTGGCTGGCTTGGCAAAAGAGAACAGCTTCCTAAAATGAACAGTTTTGTATAATGCAGAATGTGTTGATGACACTCAGTGTTGCTGGATTTGAAACGGTGCTCCAGCATGATGCCTGAATCCCTTAATATTTCCATGTCTCTCTGGATGTCAGTCCATTTTTGAGGGAGCCAGTCCTTACTGCACAGCCTCCGGATTTCCAAAAATGCTTTGAATAGCACTTGACATATGTTGCTTTCTATGCTCAGGCAAGAATGGAATGAGAGGCTTTGTTTAATGCTCATGGGATGCACGTTTTATGGCACTTTGTAACCTGTCATGTAATGTATTGTCGAAGGCTTTCATGGCCAGAATCACTGGGTTGTTGTAGGTTTTTTCAGGCTATATGGCCATGGTCTAGAAGCATTCTCTCCTGCATCTATGGCAAGCATCCTCAGAGGTAGTGAGGTCTGTTGGAACTAGGAAAAAGGGTGCTTCAACCAGAGAAATCAGCCATAGCAGAGCACCTCATGAACCAACCTGGACACAGCATTTTATTTGAGAACACAGAAATGCTGGACCACTCTCACAACCACCATGTCAGACTACACAGAGAAGCCATTGAAATATACAAGCATGTGGACAATTTCAACAGAAAGGAGGAAACCATGAAAATGAACAAAATCTGGCTACCAGTATTAAAAAAAACTCTAAAATTAGAACAGCACAACAACAGAGAGGAAACAAACAAGGACATCTAATCACCTCTCAACAAAAGTTTGCTCTAGGCACTGTCAGGCCATTATATGCTAATCAAGGTGGTCAGTTGAAACATTCACACCTAGCTTCAGCAGACAAAAGTCCTTTGCCTCACCCTGGTCACTCCACGGATATATAAACCCTGTTTCCTAGTTCCAACAGACCTCACTACCTCTGAGGATGCTTGCCATAGATGCAGGTGAAACATCAGGAGAGAATGCCTCTAGACCATGGCTATATAGCCCGAAAAAACCTACAACAACCCTGTCATGTAATGGTTTGAGTGTTGCATTGCAACTTACAAAACCAGGGTTCAGTTCTCCATTCATCCATGTAAACCCACTTGGGTGATGTATGGTGTGTTGCACCATCTCAGACCCAGAAAACACTTGTGATAGGTTCACCTTAGGATTACCATACTTGAAGGCACCCAGCAACAACAAGGAATTGCTGCACATTTTTGATGAACACATGGAGGTTGGAAGAGCTAGATTGGCCCCCTCTACTACCTAGGAACTTGTCATATGCACCGCTGGAATCACCACAGATCACAACTATCCTGACAGCACCCATCTAGGGGGCATGGGGGCCTGTCACCTCATGCCCCACACCATCCCAGCTGCCACCCTACCTCATCACATGGGGGAAGCATGAGTAAGCTGGCTTTTCCCATTAATTTGAAAGGAAAGACAGAAAGCTTCCCATCTTTTGCCACCAGCTTATTTTTGTTGCAGTTTATCAGTCTATGCAGAAGCTACTCAGCAGTCTTTCCAGCCTTATGTTGAATCACACAGAGTCAGAGTAAAAGGAAAAACAAAATTTACTCTTGAGTAGTCAGAGATAAATATGCAGCTTTACAAAATAACCAGCCTTGAAAATAAACTTAGTCCATTGCAGCAAAATAACTCACACAAAGTCCAATGTATTAAAACCATGCATTCTCTGCTTCTTCAATGGTGCAAGGAGTCTTGTAGCAAATGGACCAAAACTTCAGCAAGTCCTGTAGTAAGGCCATAAAAATCCCATCCAGTCTCCTCTCAAACATCTGATCACCATCTCTCTGAATAGTCCATGAAGCACTCCTCATGATATACTCCATGCAGGGAGTGGCTTAAGCTTAATTGCTTAACTGTCCAGGTGTTCTTCCTCAACACACACCCACACAGGAGATGATTCTTGCAAAGACTTAGCATACATATGCACATCCTGTAACAATTTTTGGTGGCAGCAGTGTTTTTTGTTTGTTTGTTTGTTTTTACAGTTTGGCCACAGAACTGCTCTTTTCCGGGGTATGATGGAAGTCATTGGGCTCCATGGCAGAACTGAGGAACACCTATCACTGCTTCTGGGTTGTGTGAAGAGGTCCCAAGTATCACAAGAGTTCAAAGGGCCCCCAAAGATCATTGGGTCCAACTGTGTGCCCAGTGCAGGATTTTCTACTAGTGCAGGCATGGGCAAACTTCAGCCCTCCTGGACGGTTCAGGTTGGCCCATGCCTGAGCTAGAGTATCCCCAGCATATAGATGTCCAGACTCTTTTTGAAGATACCCAGAAAAAGAGAACCTACCATCTCTCTATGCAAATGGTCCCACTGCCAATCTTCTCTTACTTGTCAAGAAGTCTCTTCTAATATCAAACCAAAGACTTCCTTCCAGTAACCTAAAACCATTAGACCTAGTTCTATCCTTCATCTTTGTGACATGGGGCATTTAAAGAAGGTGATCATGCTACTCCTCAATCTTCTTTTCAGTAAGTTGAACCTCTCCTGGTATGTGTTGCTCTCCATTCCTTTTACCCTTGTTGCCCTTCTTTGAACCTGCTTCAGCTTCTCCATATCCTTCTTAAAGTGAGTTGTTCAGCCATAAACTCATGAATGATCAAATCCACAGATGTTATCCCACTGTCATGGCTCCAACTAGTGGAATCTTGGAATTAGCAGTTTGGAGAAGGGCATTGCCTTGCACCTATTCAAACTATAGAATTATAACAGTATGGATCCACGTTCACTTCCATGGTTCCATCCTATGGAGGCCAGGGGTTTTGCAGTTTTAGGTTCCATCCTATGGAGCATTCCATAGGATGGAACTATGGAAGTTATTTATTTATCAAGTCAGAAGCGAGTTGAGGGTACAGTTAAAATGCATGTAAAAACACAAAGTTTTACTAACTTGGCATTATGCTAAATGTCCTTTGACCAGAAGCTGGCCACTTGGAGTGCCTCTGGTGATAATGTGAGAAGGCCCTCCATTGTGCATGTGGCATGGCTCAGGTTGCACTGTAGTAGATGGTCTGTGGTTTGCTCTTCTCCACACTCGCATGTCGTGAACTCCACTTTGTAGCCCCATCTCTTAAGGTTAGCTCTGCATCTTGTGGTGCCAAAGACCAGCCTGTTCTATGGCACCATACTGTTATAATCTATAGTTTTAATGGGTGCAAGGAAATGTGGACAACTAATGTGAGCCAAAAAAAATGGGTCCTGGTGTCCTCAAATACAGTCGTGAGGCTGTGTGAGGTCTATGAGCCTCACTTTCTCCACTCTCTGAATTAAAGCATCAACCGTGTGGTCATCCCTTCACATCTGATGGTTAAGCATTCACAGATTTAATTATTCTCTGATTGCTGCATTTACCTCCACTGTTGCCTTTATACAGCTAGGGATAAACATGTGCAACTCTATGGTCATCTTCTGGATGTTGACCATAGGATCATGCTGGAGTACCTAAAAATGCCTAAAGATAAGTTCTCTAAAATAAAAAAAATGACTGATTTTAAATTCACAGATTTTCCACTTTTTCAGGGATTCTATGCCCTTAACTATATCAAATGTAAAGAGGATTGACTTGTAGTGACTTTTTGGTTTCATGTTGGGCTTCTCAATAGTGCAACAAAGGTCCCTTCCACACAGCCCTGTATCCCAGAATATCAAGGCAGGAAATCCCACATTATCTGAGTGTGGACTCAGATAACCCAGTTCAAAGCAGATATTTGCATTTTTTTATTATTTATAGTCACATTTTTTTTCCTTTTTCACAGCAACCCTGTGCTCCTAATCCCCACAAACATGGAGGGACTTCTATTTATGGGCGATACTATTCTGTCCCTTGTTTGTGTCTACTAATCCCAGGGTGGCTGTACAACTCTTGAACAGGTGTTTCAGAGCAATTCTAAGAGAGATGAGGGTTTAGGTTTTAAACCTAAAAGTTAATCCAGACAGGCCAAATGATGAAAGTTGTATGGCTAGAAGTATACACAACTGATTTTGGAAGGGATTACTGTCTTTTGAAAATAAATTTCGTTTGGGCAGACCCCAGAGCCTTGAAAATCATTTATTTGAAAGCAATTCATTTCTATTATATGCTGGCCCTTGCTTTGTACAAAATCCCTGAACTAAATGAATATGTAAATAGGATTGGAAGCCAAGGGAGTAGAGGGAGAAGGGCATAAGCAAATAGTGAAGAAATCAAAATAGTCACATGACACTTTTATCCCAGACATTTGTGTAGCTGGTATAGTATTTTGGTTAGGCTCCTCAGCCCAGATCAAAGACATCTGTTTTCGGATCAGTGCTGATCACTGATCTTCCAAACAAAACAATTCCAGTTTCATGTTCAGGTCACTAAAGATGGACAAGAATTTCATTTGCTTTCTGTTATAATTGCAAGTTATGAATTTAACACAAGCCTACTTATTGAGTACAAATGAGAAGCTCTTCTTGGTGGTTGCTCCCAGTTTTTGATATTCCATCCCTGAAACTCATTGCATATCCTTCCATTGATAAGTGAAAATCTTCCTGTTCCGCCAAGCATTTAGTAATGGAATGCAATGGGTTTCAATGGTGTGCTGACTTGTTTCCTCCTCCCTTTGAACAGATATTAAAAGTTGTGAATTCTATAGATTATTCAATTGCATTTCAAATTAATAGCTGGGGTCTTTATGAGCAGTGACAATATTGTAAACTGGATGTACAATATTGTAACTACAGGGGAATCTCGCACATGAATGGTTGAATGTGACCCTGAAAACTACTAGTGGCCCATCAGAAAGCCTTCTGAAGCTCAGGAACTGAGGGAATTGGGAAATACCATTCCTGGCCTCGTTGAGATAAGCTGGACATGAGGGATTTATCCACTTGTCTGTTCCACCTGTCTGTTTGATGATAGAATAGATTGCCTCAAAGGCTAGTGGACTCTCCGAGCCTTTCCAGACAGGCTGTTATCCCAGGGGCATGCATGTTTAAAAAATGTGGCTGTTGCTGGGGGCCCATTTACACTCACCCTAGAAAGTGTGCACTTTCGGGGGTGGGTGTCCAGATATTGTATTGGTACAAATGACACATCAGGAGAAAGGGGGTTTAGAAGGCTTCTGGGGAGGGGATTGGGATTCCCACAGTTTTCCAGGCTAATTTAGCCCAGAAAACTGTGGGAATACTGTTTAGACTGCAGTATTATGTGGTAAATTATTTTTGGGTTGTCCAGAACGTTGTCTGGACAGCCCCCTTTTTATTGCGGAAGTTTCTGTAATTTTAGGGACTCAGAGCAGCAATAAAGGGGTGGTTTAGGTTCGTCCTCCATCTCTGGTAATATTTAACCAGAAGTTGAATGGACATATTTGAGGAGTGCTTTAGTTGAGTCTTCCAGAATACCAGAAAGGGATTGAGTTGGATGGCCCATGTGGTCTTCTGAATGAAGAATTCTAAGGTTTTACAAAAAGAAGTGGATTTTTAAAAAAGAAAATAGACAAAACAAAGCTGACATCTCTAGTGGGTCTGCAGAATACATTTCTGCTCACTGGCAATTGGTGGCTTCCATCTTAATTGGGCAGTGAATCCACTCTGGGTTTTAATCTGTACTCCAGAAGGGCTATCCAGTGTGCCAACGTTTATTGCCAAAATAGACCTAGCACCTGTAAAATCTTGACTAAAAGTTACCTTGGCATAGGAGGTAGACATACGACACTACAGTAGCAGCAGAATTGCTATCGTATTTTCTATACATGTTCAGCCTGGGTTTTGTTATGTGTCTTATGGTCAGTTTCAGAGGTCTATCTGTAATGGGTTTTCTGGGACTGGGAATATGTGACTCACCCAGTGGGTTTCCATGGCTAAAATGAGGAAGAAAACCAACTTTTGGGAAAGTTGATCTTGACCATTCCTAGTGAGGCCCACTGGATTCTGCATCAAAGCTGTAGACACTCCTAAGTAGCAGCAGAATTGCTATCATATTTTCTATACATGTTCAGCCTGGGTTTTGTTGTGTGTCTTATGGTCAGTTTCAAAGGTCTATCTGTAATGAGTTTTCTGGGACTGGGAATATGTGACTCACCCAGTGGGTTTCCATGGCTAAAATGAGGAAGAAAACCAACTTTTGGGAAAGTTGATCTTGACCATTCCTAGTGAGGCCCACTGGATTCTGCATCAAGGCTGTGGTGGATTCATTGTGGGTTTCATTCTAGCTTTTAAAGGAGCAATACAAAGTTCTAAGCCTTATTCCCCAAATAGCTTCAGCATTTCACTCTTTTTACATTTTGGAATAAAACCGACAGTGGATTCAATGCCCCACTGAAAATGCCAGCAACCTCTGCATCCATTGCCTGGGAAAGTCTCTGTTATTCTGGGTTTGAAGATCATCTCCCAATGTTTTCTGCTCTTTCTTGTTTGCACCCCCATTCCCCACTCCAGGACCCAACTTTTCTTTGCGCGAGCTGGGCCTCGAAGACGTCTCACCGCCCCATGGGACTTTATATCGGACAGATTTAGGGCTGCCCCACTGTGGCTACTCCATTGGCGCTGGATCTGATGCCGACAACGAAGCAGATGCAGTCTTATCACCCGAACACCCGGTCAGACTCTGGGGACGCAACACCAAGTCCGGCCGCAGCTCCTGCTTGTCCAGCCGAGCCAACTCCAACCTCACCCTCACAGATACAGAACACGACAACACCGAAACCGGTAAGGAAGGGCACGGACCCCATTCTGCCACTACATTTTCTCCAGATGCTTCTGATCTTTGTTTATTCCTCTCTTTTTTTGCTGTTGCCGAGCAGACCTGCTCTATTAATAATTTTCTAGGAATATTTCAGCTTGAGTAAGAGGAGATGGAAGAAAGAGATGGTATTATTTGAACGATGGAGTGGATTCTGTCCTTGCACAGAATATTCAGGAAAAGTTAAAGAGATTTTTGATTTGTTTACAGAGAAATGGTGATTGTCAAATGATCCATGTGCTCCTCATAGGACCCTTTCGGGGCTCTTTCTTTCTTGTTCTTCCTTCCTTCCTTCCTTCCTTCCTTCCTTCCTTCCTTCCTTCCTTCCTTCCTTCCTTCCTTCCTTCCTTCCTTCCTTTCTGTTTTCTCTGTCTCAGCTTTCTTTTATCTCCTGAACTGATATTCTAGCTGATAATTTCTAAGGCCATTCTGACTTATTTTTGACGCTTATGTAAATAGCCTGGGTTTCTCTGTAGAAGATAGACGGTGACGGGTGAACTTTATATTTATTTTTAGAAACTTGTCCTTTTATGAAACCTTGGAAATCACAACCCTCCCCCCTCTTTTTTTTGTCTTTTTATCTCCTAATCTTTGATTTCCTGGCTGTGCAGTTGTAGAGTTGGCATGGACTAGAGCTTTTGGGTTGGCATTTGTGTGCAGAAATAAGAATAAGCTGTGATACACAATTGTGGTTTGACCTCAGAGTATTTAAGAGGGGGTCAAGGGTGAAGAGGAAGCCAAAATAGTACTTGCTGCCACAAATGGCATGTTGCCTTTACACCTATAATTGAATGGTTGCATTGCCAATGTCTTAATATAGTTGCAGTGTGTTGGCTGCAGTAGGATGAAGCTTTTTTGTATCAGACTTGCATAAAATAACCAGAGTGATAGTCCTCCTTCCTGCTACAGCTTGATTGTGTGATATTTGGATTTTTTCTCTCTCTCTTTTATTTTGCTTATGTATACAAAGCCTTGTGAGGTAGTTTTGTCATACATCAGCCCTGTGTCTTCTGTTCAGAACTTCTGACAAAGTCATGTTGAGGGTTCGTATCAGGGAAACGTTTGTGCCAATATGAATTTGTGCTCAGAGTAAACAGAGTATGGTGGAGTAAGTGAGTTACCATATGTTCATCCATCAATATTAATTGCTAACTATATTGATAAAACTTACAGCCTTTAGCTCTAGTCAGTATGGAGTTGCATAAAGCTGCCATCAATAGCAGAGTTTATGGGGCCATTACATCCCATTTTTCTCCCACCGCATGCTCCCATCAGCATCTTGTCTTAGGTTTCTTCATTAATTATGCAAAATAAATAATCAGTATTGAATTCTGATGCTACCCACATCCATAGACTTCTGGATACTTTATGGCATAGTGCTTTTGAAGTTTCTATTTGTTTGTTTTTAAAGGGGAAAGCTGGATCTTGCATCCTTATCTTTGGAACAGTCTTTTCCTCCACATTGATCTGCATCCCTCAAAGTGATCTGCAGATACATTTCCTTGGCTTACTTAATCAAAGTATTGCTAGTTACCAAAATATGTAAAATGAATCAAGGGGGCATCTACTCTGTAGAATGAAAGCAGTTCGACACCACTGGACTACCATGGCTCGATGCTATGGAATCCCGGGAATTGTAGTGTTACAACACCTTTCACCCAGACGAGGGCAACCGTTGGCCCTCAGCTCCCACAATTCCCAAAAGTCGGTAAGCTGACTGAGATCTCTGGGAGATGAAGTCCAAAACACCTGGAGGGCTGAAGTTTGCCCATGCCTGCTTTAACCTCTCAGCCAAAGATTGCTAGTGCCTCGCCAAATTACAATTCTCAGGATTCCATGCACTGAGCTATGGCAGTTAAAGTGGTGTCAAATGTCATTCATTCTGCAATGTAGATACATCCTCAGCTGAAATCCTATGTGCTTTTGGTGTTGTTAGAACATAAGGACCATTCTGGATCAGACCAAAGGGCTTCAAAGTCCAGGATTTTGTTCTCATTGTGTCACTAGATTTCTATAGCAAACTTACTGGCAGGTTGGGCCATTTTTGTTGCATGCCTCAAAGGCATTTCCAACTGATAGCCTACTTATTTAGATGATCACTCATTTTCCAAGTATGATGGCCTTCCAAGGTCTTGGAAGACACCTGTGCTTGAGTTTTTGCTAATGTGTGGAGATCGGTGCACAGCCGATCTATTTATTTATTTATTTATTTATTTATTTATTTATTTCGAATATTTCTACCCCTTCTCAATCACTGGGGGGACTCAGGGCGGCTTACAATTGGCAATAATTCAATGTCGCATCATAAAATACAGAATACAGAATAACAAATATAACAATTAACATGAACATTAATAAATAAAGATTAAAACAGTATACTTACACTCTGATTAGCTATTGCCCGTCTGGTGGCTGTTTAGCTAGCCATCTGCTAATGAATACTCCGCTTAACTTATCCAAATCCTCTTCCATGCCATAGTCAAACATTATCAATTGTCCTTTAACCTGATTCCCTACGGTCTTCACCGAATGAGGGTCCCAACCAGCGGTATAGTTAACACAACGACAGTGGCTTCTCAATTTGTTGCTGCCTTCTTCCACCTTCACAGTTGTTGTAATCTGTACCATGATATCTTCCATCTGATCCGTCATTGAGGTCTTTGGATTGTGCTCGGTATGGAACCTCCCCTGCACCCCCCCCCCCCCCGGGAAGTGTATAACTCTGGTGGTTACACCCACAGGTTCATTGAAACACGCAAGGCCCCTCACCATGACAAGGTGACAATCCAACTGATAGCAATGGAAAAGCAACCTGATAATGTGGTTTTTGGGGGGCAAGATATGTTCAGAGCAGTTTTTTCCTCAACCTTTCTCTGAGGCTGAGAGAGGGTAATTTGTTCAAGACCAACTCAGTGGGTTTCCATAACTAAAAAATGATTCAAACCCTGATCTACCTGACTCCTAGTCCAACATTCAAACACTAGCATGCGCTAGTTCTCCAACTATGGGTGGAGTGGGGGGTTACTTTAAAAAGAAAACCAATTCTTGTTTGCTTTTGACTACAGTTGGATGTTTACGTTTGTAGATTTAACTTTGAAGATTTTGTTATTCATAAATTCGATTAATAAGTTTTCTAGGAATCTCTAGGTCAGTGGTTCTCAACCTGGGGTCCCCAGATGTTTTTGGCCTACAACTCTCAGAAATCCCAGCCAGTTTACCAGCTGTTAGGATTTCTGGGAGTTGAAGGCCAAAACCATCTGGGGACCCCAGGTTGAGAACCACTGCTCTAGGTATTCCAGCAGAACTATAGAATCAACTTCTGGCAAAGATTGGCCGAAGAGTTCTGCTACATGACCAGGAGATTCCTTGAGAGAAAACTTCTCTAAGGATTTTAGGTCCTCTAACACGATTCCATGTTCAACGTCCAGTCAAGTTGACCCCAGGGTTGCACTGGACGACCTAGAGATTCCTAGAGAAGTGCTCTCAGGAGGGAAAAAAAACATTTTAATTAGTAGTTTTTCCACTTTGTGGGGGCCCTGTGCTGCTAACTACAACAAATGTAGAAGGCTGACTGTATTTTTAAATATTCTTCCAAGCACTAGTTAGAAGATTTTCCCAGATTGCTTTTGGTGATCTGTAGTGGTGACACTGGTGAAAGGCATCAATCCACCCAGCACTATCCTATTTAGAAAATAGCAGACAGTTATTTGTAAAATAAGAGTGGTGTGCCCATTGCCATCGTTTCCCAGATGCCTAATGTAAATATATCATGAAGAATAGCCACTGTCAGAAATGAGAACAACAAAAGCATTGCTTTCCAACAAAAGGCCAATTACTGATAGTTTCTGCTAAGTGAGGAATCAGCCCACCCACTTCCAGCATCTCAATATTAAATGGACATTAAAATACCGGGCTCAGTGGAGCATGAGAAATGCCAACAGCCTTTATCCACATGTCAGGAATTTTTTTTATAAAAAAGAACTTTGCCACAAGTGGCACAACTATACATTCTCAACTAATGTTTAAGATGCTCTTTCTTCCATCGATCACAGTTTGGGAAGGCAGCTCCCTCTCCTTTGGATTGTGCAGTAAATGTCTCTTTGACACAATGAAGATCTCTCAAGACAAAAGCTGGAGGAGAGTATAATAATTACAATTTTGGCCAGTCTGTAACCAGACATATGGTTTCTCTGAAAGATAGTTCATTAGCCTTCAAAAGCAAACTGACACCAAACCGTTCATCTTCTTAAAAGGACGGGATAATGTAGTACATCTGTGAGTTTGCTCTCAAATATAAACCTGGGCATGATTTTATACCCTCCGCCATCTGGTTTCAAGCATCTCTTGTTTCATAGGCTGGGCACATATGTTCACACATACTTACTTATATGTGCACACCCTGGATGGAGTTGTATTTCTCTCTTGCTCGATACAAACCACAACGGACCCCACGATGACTTTTTATAAAGACACAGTTGGCTTCGCTTTTTATTGCAGGGTCTCAAACCAACACCAACACTCTGCCCAAACCAAGCCCTCAGTTATAGGTCTTAAAAGATTTTTCAGATGGGATGTTAAATGTTGAGTGGAAGCCACAAGAAATTGTATGGGTTTGTAAGCAGCACTTGGTTGTTTCATCTTGAGTAAGTTCTAGAGATGTAGTCCTCCACTAATTACATTCTTAAAGGAATGAAGAAATTATTATAGCAAACCACACTGCTTTTGAAGACTGCTTACAGTTCCGAACTCATCCTGTGAAAAGTGTGCATGTGGTATTTTTGTGCAGAAAAATATTTTCTGCGCAAAAAAAGTTATAGTTGGGACTTACGCTTTACAAATTTTGCATTTTTATGCTGGGTCCTGTGAATCAACAAGAGTCTAAGGTGAGAAAGTGAGGCCACTGTTCAGTCAGTATCGTAAAATGCTAGCAGATCACACTGAAGCAGAACAACTAAAAACCTATTTT